TCAGAGCTAATGAGGTTACTCAGCATTTTTCTTCTCCGAGCAGAAAACCCACAAAGAGCAGTTCCCTCCATCAGCTGTTTAACATTTCAGCTGCACACAGGTATTAGGGGTATTAAACACATATTTTTAAATCCACTTTCTCTTCAAAATGTTCCTTTATGTAAAGAGATGTGGAATTAGTACTTTATAGATAAAGGACAGACATCAGCAGAGGCTCAAATGAATTTTCCAAGCTCATGGAAAAGACTTATTATGGAGAAAGACACTCCAGCAAATCTCCCAATTTTCTGCCAAACTTGACTCCAAGAGACCTTATTTCTCTGCATCCCAGCCAAGCAGAAAATATAGAAAATATCCTCCCCCAAAGCAAGGAGCACCTCTGAGGATTTGACTGCATGAAGACCTGTTTGAAACTCCAGCCAAGTTTGCCTTCACCTCAGATGGAGCAGAGGAGCATATTTAACATCCCTCTGTTTCTCTTCTAATGGCAGGTTGGAGGAAATAAAGAAATAAATTACCAATTTAGCCCAGAAAGCCAGGCAGTTATCATCTAAAGGCATGGAATTAACCAATTAATTAATGGGAATGAGGGCTCAGCAATGTGAAAATACTTGGTTTTAGCAAAGACAGAATGACAGCACTGGTCCCAAGTGATTACAGAGAGAAAAGGCACAACTTTGTCCCCAGCTTCACTTCAAATCAAGTGAACTTCACCCTTCTTTCATCTCCAACACAGCTGGGAATTCTGCCATAAATTGCCTGGTCCTAAAGAATTAATTTCCCTGGGAACCCAGCTCAGGCATGTAGTGTTGGGACTTAAATTCTGCCTCTTAATATAATTTACTTAATGTAGATCTGAAAATCCCATTGGTGCTGGTTTATCCTCTTCCTTCCCCACACTGGGGGTCACCAAAACACCTGGCAGGTAACTCAAGCTCTGGCTGCCATGTGCTTTTCCCTGAGCTGCGTCCGAGCTTTCCTCCACGAGATCTTCACAGACTGTTCCAAAAAATTACATTTTAGCGTTCCACTGTCGGAGCTGCATGTTCTAGAGGAGCATAATCCTACAAAGCAGCTGCTCAGCAAAAAAATCCCCCCCAGGAAAAGCATTCACTGGGGCAGTCCTTGAGCCAAAATTTGAGTGTGGGGAGGACATGCCTGGCTGACCCCCCCACGACCATGCAGATATGTCCTCAGAAACTGAATATAAGGAAAAAAATCAAGTAAAACCTGCAGTCTGTAACACCAGGCTGTGATGAATATTTCTAAATACACTCCCTGAATTTATTATGCAATTAGCAGTGAGGGAGAAGGGCCCTCACTGTACTTCCCCACAGAGAATTCCATTCCAGTGCCCGCGTTTCTCACTCCCCCCGAAATCCAAGGCAGGACTTCCACCTGCACATGTCACACCAAGCAAGCACTGCAGCCCCAAGCAGCGCTCACTCCTCCCTGACAGACACAGGGAAAAAAAGCCAAGGAAGGTAAGGACACTCCATGAGAGAAAAATAGATTTTTAACCTAAAACAACTGCAATTAATTGTCTCTTTTCTCTTTGCACCCGCCCAGGCTGAAGCCCAACCCCTCTCTCCGCTCTCAAGCATCTCTTCAATGCTACATTTCATTATGCAACAGTTGTGCTCAGCACTTTTAAAGGCTAAAAAATTGGGATGATGAAGCATTTCCCATTTCCCAGTGTATTTACTTCTGTGTGCTGTTACAGTAACACAAACACAATAATAACAAAACACTTGATTTTTCACAAACCCTGATGTAAAAGATCCCTGTATACACCAATGGTGTCAGTAGCTACACACAAATCTGGTCCACATCAGAAAGTACTTTTTAATTCCCTAAAAAGCTCCAGAAGATGCTGTACAGTTTGTAAGTGGGGCATATGTATAATGCTGTGCAAGACTAATCAGCCCTGAGACAACAGCTTCTAAATATCATTATGGAGAAGACAAGAATGATGTTTAACTGCTGCTTCTGTCAGAGAGATTCTCCTTTCAAGTCACTCAGGATATCGAGTTATAGTATTTGCTTCCAGTAATCATGGGCTGGATAAAGTCACATTTTCAGCTTGTGAAAAAGCAACAGCATCTCCCACCACTGATCTGTTTGCTCTGAGGAAGTAGCCTGCGTTTTTTTCAGACGTGGTCACCCTACCATGTAATTTTACCCATGTCTGTATCCAGGCTGCAGCCAAAACCACATTTATTTTTGTAGAGAGAAATGCACAGAGGACCTGGAATACAGCAAGTCAGCACTGCTGGAGAGAAAAACAGAAAGAAAAAAACAACAGCGTGGTGGTTGCTGTTGCATCAATAAGCAGGTCAATATTTAAGTTCCTTAGAAAAAAAAAAAAATTCCCTGATAAAATCCCGTGAGAGATGCTAAGTGGGATCAAAGCTGTGACACTGGTGAGCAGTGGGTGATGTGGGGGCACACCCCTGGCACCCTCATTTAGGGATCAGCAGCAGAGAAGAGGAACAGAGGGAAGAGGGCAATGGGAATACCTGGACAGGTAAGAGACAGGAAGAGCAACGGAGCTGCCCTCTGCTGACTGTCTGCTTTGTTGAACACTGCTCTGATCCAGCCCCGCTCAGCCACAGCGCAATCCGACTGGCCAGGCTGGCTGTGAGCTGTGTGTGCCAGCCAGATCCACACTGATCTCCTGCCCTGCCCAGCCCAGCCAGATCCACACTGATCTCCTGCCTGGCACAGCCAGATCCACACGGATCTCCTGCCTGGCACAGCCAGATCCACACGGATCTCCTGCCTGGCACAGCCAGATCCACACGGATCTCCTGCCTGGCACAGCCAGATCCACACGGATCTCCTGCCTGGCACAGCCAGATCCACACGGATCTCCTGCCTGGCACAGCCAGATCCACACGGATCTCCTGCCTGGCACAGCCAGATCCACACGGATCTCCTGCCTGGCACAGCCAGATCCACACGGATCTCCTGCCTGGCACAGCCAGATCCACACGGATCTCCTGCCTGGCACAGCCAGATCCACACGGATCTCCTGCCTGGCACAGCCAGATCCACACGGATCTCCTGCCTGGCACAGCCAGATCCACACGGATCTCCTGCCTGGCACAGCCAGATCCACACGGATCTCCTGCCTGGCACAGCCAGATCCACACGGATCTCCTGCCTGGCACAGCCAGATCCACACGGATCTCCTGCCTGGCACAGCCAGATCCACACGGATCTCCTGCCTGGCACAGCCAGATCCACACGGATCTCCTGCCTGGCACAGCCAGATCCACACGGATCTCCTGCCTGGCACAGCCAGATCCACACGGATCTCCTGCCTGGCACAGCCAGATCCACACGGATCTCCTGCCTGGCACAGCCAGATCCACACGGATCTCCTGCCTGGCACAGCCAGATCCACACGGATCTCCTGCCTGGCACAGCCAGATCCACACGGATCTCCTGCCTGGCACAGCCAGATCCACACGGATCTCCTGCCTGGCACAGCCAGATCCACACGGATCTCCTGCCTGGCACAGCCAGATCCACACGGATCTCCTGCCTGGCACAGCCAGATCCACACGGATCTCCTGCCTGGCACAGCCAGATCCACACGGATCTCCTGCCTGGCACAGCCAGATCCACACGGATCTCCTGCCCAGCACAGCCAGATCCACACGGATCTCCTGCCCTGCCCAGCACAGCCAGATCCACACTGATCTCCTGCCCACTACAGCCAGATCCACACTGATCTCCAGCCCAGCATATCCCCATGCCCAAGCTGGCAGCAGCGTGGTGCCCCGGCCACTGCCGCAGCACCGACAATTCCGTGCTGCAATGAGCTGCTCCAGCTAATTAACTCCAAAAATCACCCAGCACTCGAGCCAGTGTTGCTGCTGCATCGTGTCCGTGGATGCCTGGACTCATCCAGTGCCCAGCTCGGCTGTCCCTGCCTGCTGTGCCGTGGGGGTCGTGGTGGAACATTTTGGGCTGGTCCAGCCGCTCTGTTCTGCCATTTCAAATCAGGGGTCCCTTCAGTAACCCCCAAAATCAATAACCTACATGGACATCAGTGGTGAATGCAGTGCTGTGACAGGTCCGTGGCCCACACCTGCTGGCACCTGGGCTAGGGGAGTTTCCTGCTGGAAAGTATTTATTGAACAGCAAAACTCCTGGGGATCTCAGAATGAAACACAGACCCAACGCTTCCCAACTCGGACCAGTTCTCGCGCCTCTCATGGCATTTTCTGTCACTCAGGTTAAATACACGTGACCTATTTAACGTACACCTTTTTTTTTTTTTTTTTTTAAGTTAAAAACATCATTGCTAAACCCTCTTTGAAATGAGAGAAAAGGAGGAAAGATGAGATTCAAGTTTCACGCAGATTATCACGATGATCAACCTGCTCTGCCGAACGGCTTCGCTCTGAACTCGCGTCCATCTTATACAAGGTTTAAAAGCAAATGGGAGCAGCTACTCCTTTAGCACCTTAAACACTTTCTCTCCCAATAAAAGGCAGCCGTGTAGCTTTAACCCAGCGCTTCGCTGAATTCCCAAGGGCTCAGCATCACCCACTCTGCGGCTGCTCCATCGCTCCCGTAGATGGCAAGCTGTGCTGCGCGGGGATGCTGTGCACGGCTCCGTTATTAATGAACCCCCGCTCACAGAAACCCGAGCAATAACGAAAGCTCCTCAGCCAGCTCCGGCTCCGCGTTTCTCCCCTCCTTGTGCGCGGAGCACCGCTCCATCCATCCCACCTCCCCCGCCCGCCCCCGCCGCCGGCCCGGCCCCCGGCTCCTCCTCCCCGCTCCCGCCCGGCTGGGGGACGCCCGCCGGTCCCGCTCAACAAGTTCCCCTCGGCGGGGAGCCGGCCGAGGGGACCCCCCGACAGCGAGCCCCCGCTCAGCCCATGAGGGCAGCGGGGGAGCGCGGCGGCGGCGGCGGCGGCTGCGGCTCCTCCGGCGGCTCGGCGGCTCCGCGGCAGATGCGCCCCGGCGCCCAGGCGCTGACGCCCAGCTCGCCCCGGCGGCTGGAGGGAGATGCTCGCCCAGACCGCCGCTTCTGCGTGAGGAAGCACAAGGTAAGGCGCTGCGAGCCCCCGAAATAGCCCCGTCCGCTGGTTCTGCCGGCGGAAAACTTCGTAGGGATGAGGAGAAAGGCTGGCGCTGAGCGCCAGCGTTATGCAATAGCGTATCTGCCTGCCTGGGAACGGCTCCTGCATCCAATAACTTTCGTGACAGATAAGGAGAGAATATCCCGATACGCGACTTTCTTCTAGAAAAATACCAGCGTTTCTTTGCCTGCTCCCCTTCCAGCGGTGCCTGGGAGGGGAGAGGGGAAGCTGGAGGATTTTTGGAGGATGCACGAAGTGCTTTGGCTTTTCACGCGGCTGATGGCGAGGAACTACCGCTGCTTATTAACTTCAGCCGTCCTAATGAAGTGTCCGTACAGCGGCGATGGAGGAACGCGGGATGTGTTCATCCCTGAACTTGCAGTACGGCACTTCATTAAAAGCCTAACCAACCCAAAAATCCTCCTCGGGGACGGAAGCTGCTGCTGCTATTCAGTGAACTGTGCAGGGTTCTCCCGATTTAAACACACCCGAGTCCCCCATCACCATCACCGACCACGCAGAAAGCGGGGATGCCGTGGAAACGCCGTAGGAAAACGGGACAAAAGGTAGCGGGGAACCGTCCCCAAAGTCACGGTCCTTGCATCCTGCGAGGCATCCCGAGCTGCCCGCTCTGCTGTTCCATCTCGCCTCCCTCGCTAGTAAAAATCCTCTGCCGTGACCTCGGCGCCTGCACTTAATGCCGTGTTTACGGAGAGTTACGGCAGCGAGGGGATGCAGGACTGCAGTTCCATGGGATCTGCCTGGGGGAGGCGGGGGGACCGCCAGCCCCGGCTAAACAGGGACATCTTGCACTGCTGGAAACAGGGAATTTATTCCCGGCTTATGTCACCGTCTCCCGAGGGCTCTGTCCCAAGGGAGCTGTGCCCCCCGCTCAGCCGCGAGTCGGAATAGGGAATGGAGCGCTTTGCTTTGACCTTGTGGGTCTAAGCAGCTTAAAATCCCGCACGGAGGAGAATTTAACTCATTAAGCTCTAAAAATGGGAAGTCTGGGAAGATCTCTTTTTCCCAGCCTCGGAGAATCGTTTCTTTTTCCCCCAGCCGAATGCTGGCAAGTGCTAAGGAAAGGCAAACCAGTAACAGGTCATGTCTGATATAAACTGGGGATTTATTCCCTCAGCGTTAAGTGCTGGATGGTGCTCGGATTCACAGGGCTGCCAGGAATGCTGCATGTATCAAGGTTAAAATCTGGATTCTAGATGGAAAAGCTCCCAGCTAAAAATAAATAAATAAATAAATAAATAAATAAATAAATAAAAATAGTCACATGATATGCAAACTATATCCTAGCCATGGACTGGGATTAATTTAATGTCAAATTCCAAGCCAACGGACCAATAGTAAAAATAGGAAATCAGGGAGAGGAATGGATCTCCTCACTCTTGGTGTGATGCCTCTTGGTGTTCCACCAGCCTGCTCGTGCCTGGCTGGCTGGACTACAATGATCTGTTCCCTCCGAGTACAAATAACAGTTCTAAGTTAAAAGCTGGATTTTACTCCTGGCATTAAAAATTCATATTTAAATGAAAATATCTCAGGGCTCAGGTATTACTGATTTATCACCTGGAGAGTGATATTCTGCTGTACAGTGGTGGCATAGGGTCCCTGATTCCAGGAGAAATCCATGATGAAGATTGCTAATCCAGAGACTCAGACTGGATTGTTCCAATTCCAACAGTTCTAAAATAAAATTCCTGCCCCAGAGTTTAAGGTGGTGTTGCTTTGAAAGCATCCTCCCTTCACATGATGGGGAAAGCTGATACTAAATGAGCTTTTTTTTAGGGCTTTTTTGTAAGGATGTCACAATGCCCTTGATGAAAAATGTTTGTTCTTTAGGACTCCATCATTATCAACGATGTTTTTAACGAGATGCTCGAGATAATTCTAATCCTGGATGGAATCAGTGCTTTTCCCTGGGACTGACACGTGAGAAATGAGCTGGGCAGGAGCAGCACGAGAGAAAGTGTTCAGTTCCTTACGAGGAGGGCGAGCACTCAGTGTTCAGCGCACCCTGGCACTAACTGAGCTCACAAAGGAGCTCCAAGATCCTCGCTTCCTTCTTCCCCAGTTAACCACTGCACTGACAGAGCATTTCTGCATCAGGGGAACACACAGCATATTCTACATTCTGATCTAGGTATAATTAACTCAGAAAATAAAGTGGGAAGTTGAGTGGAGAGGAAGACAGGGAAGGGAAATGTGGTGAAGAAGCCCAGGAGCTGCCCAAGTGCCGAGTCACGGAGTGTGCGTCACCTCCAGCGGCCACACACCGCTGGTCACCACCAGCACACTGCCTGGGAATCTAAAAATCCAAACCCAGCCAGGGGTTGTACACAAGGCAAGGAAATACCAACACTAATGTTTGCTTCTGGAGGATTTAAAAGTGAACTTAGTCATGACGGTCCTTTGCCGTGACTGATGTGGAAACCGGTCAGGGAAACCTGTGAGCTTGCCAAAAATTTCTGCTAACATGTAAGGATACCTCCACAGAGCTCTTGAGCTATGATGCCTCAAGGCTATTCCTTGTCCGAGCACAGGACAGGGAGAACTAGGGATGTGTAGTCCCATAATTCATGCCCACTTGAGGAAATGACAGTAAATCTAGAATACCTGAGGCCATAAAAAATTCACGATTATCTGAACTAGCTATTAATAAAAAGCTCTCATATTCTGCTTTATGACAGGCACGGTTTAAAATTTGTCTAAGATATTAAAAAACATGTAAGCAACAAATCTATTTTATAGCACAATACTCCCTTGTATTTTTACTGATCACTTTGCATATTAAATTTGCTTTATGAAAATGAAATCATGAGCGTATTTTAAGGAAAAAAATCATCTCAGAGTGGTAAATTCAGTGTGAGTTCCACATTCAGCCATCTGAAAACTGGTGCTTGCTTAGAAAATCCTGCATAACCTCTGAACACACACAGGTACAACTCCCTGGGTATTGACACTCAATTTTAAATTGTTATTGACCACAGAGAATGTGCTCAGAGCATTCTCTTATTGTAGTGGCACATCCCCATTTGGAGGCTGTTTACTCCAATTTTACTACATTCAGGCAGAAAAATGATCCATTAATACTCCTGAGAACAGTTCACCCTGTTCATGCTTTTGCTCTGTGTCAGGGTGATCCGTGCCTGAAAACTGCTCCCATTAAGACATCCCAGCAAAAGTCTCTCAGGCAAAGAGAACTGTGTGGAAAAACAACAATTCAGTGATCAAACAGCAACATTTGGTGTCCTCTTTGCCTGATTTTCTCCCCCTTTAGTGGCATATCACCGGGGCCTGATTTTGCTCCAGTTTTTTCCAGCTAAATCCACTGGGTTTGATACAGAGTATAGAGGAGTAAGGGCCATTTTCCAAGTCTGAGTTAAACAGAGATGGATTAAAAAGACTGAAGGCCTTCAAGTCTTGCTATGCTTAGGTGCAGAGCCAAACTTCTAAATCATTACAAGACGTTTCTGTCCTGGCAGGGAAGTGCAGGAGCTCTACCATGTCCCACTCCCCAGAGTTGCTAATACCTGGTCTCAGACTCAGCCCATATCAAAAATAGTTGTTAATCATCTCAGAAACCCCAGCTTTAACTCGTGTTTGTGACATCCATGGGCAAGAGAAGCAGGTTGCTGCTGTTATTTTTGCCTGCCCATGATTGCTGGAGCAAGCCTATAAATAAAGCCCACGTAGTTACCAAATTAAACCAGTTTAAAAACAAAAGCAGAGGAAGCTCCTTCCATCTGGCCTGAGCGAGGAGGAATTGTCACAAGCTCACAAAAAAAGGAGTTACTTCTTTTGTGCTCTTGCCCACCTTCCCTGCTTGTCTGACAGCTGCCTTTCTCTCCTCTTACATTTTTTTCCCCAGTTCTCACGTCAAGGCTGTGATTGCATTGCTTGGAACAATTTTGGTGAGGTCAAAGCTTATAAAGCCCAAGCACGGTGTAAATGACTTTTTAAAAGCTGGAACAGGGGCTCTCTGATGCTCAAGACAAACCCATTTAATACAGTCCCATTTCAGGACTGTATTTTAGAAGTTCGTAACACATCAAGTAGTTTTGGTCTGGTTAGTAATTTCCTGGGAGAAGGAAGAAGAGGGAATTCAGTAAAATCCCTAATTTTGGTGTATTTATGAATAAGCACAAAATCTACAACAATCTCAAGGTCTCCTTCCAACCATTAGTAATTGGTTGTTCGTGCCCATTTTGTTATTATATTCATTATTCTCAGCTGCAAATAGAGAAATGAATGAGGAGATATCCACAAGTACAGAAATTTAACTTGTGCATCAGTTGAATACATTTCTGTGTATCAAGGCCATCGGCAAATAAAACACAGCGATATCTCTACGGAGCTGACAAAGAGACAGATAAAACATCCCACTGCTGGAGAGAGTAATTCAGCAGAAATTATGCTTGAACTGCCTGCTGACAGTGATAACACTGATCCCTTCTGGAGACTGAGCCCAAGTTGCTGAATTCCAGAGGAATCCGTGTGTTTCAGCTGAGGAAGCTGCTGAGAAGAACGCAGCACGTTCCTGCATTCCCAATTTGTAATAAAAACACACAAAGCCACAAGAAAAGTGATGCAAATTATCTGTCTGGTGGCCAGTTGTGGTGCCTTCCCCAGCCAAAAAATATCCTTGAGAGGGTCTTTAATTATTACTTTAATGAACTTCCTAATCATCCCTATCACAAACAACCCATGCTGCAATCCAGAATCACAGGGTGGTTTGGGTTGGAAGGGCATTAAGGATCATCCCATTCCAATTCACTGCCATGGGCAGGGACACCAGGTTTATTTCTAAATCCTATTCCACGTTTTCCCAGGTCCACCAAACCTGGGAGCAACGTACTCAGCAACTCCACAACACTGTGTGTGCTTCCCTCTTCGTTCCTCACGTAGTTCTTCCCACATGGCACCAAAACGGTGTTCCCTGGAATGAGCAATTT